CATACTTTTCTCCAGGCCTCCTGCCTACTATCCTACAGAACTACTACCTACCATTCTTTTCATACTTTTCTCCAGGCCTCCTGCCTACTATCCTACAGAACTACTACCTACCATTATTTTCATACTTTTCTCCAGGCCTCCTGCCTACTATCCTGCAGAACTACTACCTACCATTCTTTTCATACTTTTCTCCAGGCCTTCTGCCTACTATCCTGCAGAACTACTACCTACCATTATTTTCATACTTTTCTCCAGGCCTCCTGCCTACTATCCTGCAGAACTACTACCTACCATTATTTTCATACTTTTCTCCAGGCCTCCTGCCTACTATCCTAAAGACCTACTACCTACCATTCTTTTCATACTTTTCTCCAGGCCTCCTGCCTACTATCCTACAGACCTACTACCTACCATTCTTTTTATACTTTTCTCCAGGCCTCCTGCCTACTATCCTGCAGAACTACTACCTACCATTATTTTCATACTTTTCTCCAGGCCTCCTGCCTACTATCCTACAGACCTACTACCTACCATACTTTACATACTTTTCTCCAGGACTCCTGCCTACTATCCTACAGAACTACTACCTACCATTCTTTTCAGGCCTCCTGCTTACTATACTTTAAATACTATCCTATACAGACTACTACCTAATATTCTTTTTATACTATCCTACAGTACTGTACTTTTCATCCTATCCTACAGACCTACTGCCTACTTTACTTTTCATACTGTCCTACAGACCTACTGCTTACTGTACTTTTCATACTATCCTACAGACCTACTGCCTACTATACTTTTCATACTATCCTATACAGACCTACTGCCTACTATACTTTTCATGCTATTCTACAGACCTACTGCCTACTATACTTTTCATACTATCCTACAGACCTACTGCCTGCTATACTTTTCATACTATCCTATAGACCTACTGCCTACTGTACTTTTCATCCTATCCTACATTCCTACTGCCTACTGTACTTTTCATCCTATCCTACAGACCTACTGCCTAGTAAACTTTTCATGCTATTCTACAGGCCTACTACCTACTAAACCTTTTATACTAACCATCAAGCCTGCTATTTATTAAACAGCGTCAATTTTCCACTAAAAAGTCATTTCCCCCTGCTGTTAATATTTCTTAGGATTGCAGGTAATTTTTGGTGTTTTTGCACGAAATCGCCTTTTTCATGTGTTATTTTTTGTATCTACCTAGGTTGTTTATTGTAGAATGTGTACGTGAATATCAGTCGCATCCTCACTGCTGCTGGGAAACTGATAGAAGGCGGCCATTATGCTGCAGTACATGTCAGGTATTTTAGTATCATTATTATCATTGTAATCATCATTTTTATTATCAGCATGGTTGTTTAAAAAGTAAATATTTGAAAATAATCTTTTTTCCATATCATGATCTGAGTTCGTTTCCCTTTTTTCCATCTGACGGCCCATTAAAAAAATTTTTTTTTTCTTTTCTTGTGACTTTTAACATTTTATATTATATATTATATTATTATATTATTATATTATATTATATGTTTATGGTTATTATATCGTTAGAAATGACGAGGATCAACCAAGACCGAAATATATTTTCAATAAAATTTGGAACTAACATCTACTTTATTTACTCTATAGAGGTTTGGTCCATCATCATCACCTAATTTTAAATCTATCTATCTATCTATCTGTCTATCTGTCTATCTAGGGATGTTGCTAGTAGACTGGATAGCACCTGGAAAGGGTTTGCTGGAGGACTAGATGAAAGAACAACCGTGTTGGCTCTTTCTGTTCTTTTTCATCAGAAAGCAGAAACTGTAAGTTTTTAAAAATTCTTACTTTTTTTACTTTTCAGTAATGAGAATCCTTATATTTTTTCTAATACTTGATTTTGTAGACCTTTGAGCTTCTTAAAGCCAATGTTTTGCTAAAATATCAAAAAGTTCACATCTTTATGTTTTTAATAGTTAATAGTTTCTTTGGAATACTCAAAGTCAAGGAATTATGTACAGGAACGCCCAACTCAGATTTACGCATGTTATGTACTGTATGTACACTGTGGGAGGAATGTAAACAAACCCAGTGCCCCCACAGAAGTTGAAGGGAAAGGACTAAAGCTCTGATGTGATATTACAGTCCAACAAAAACAAGTTAATATATCAAGTTAGAGCGAATACTTATGATTTTTGGCTTTCTGGTAATATGAAAAATACAATAGCAATATATTTTTATTCCACCCCTTGAGGCCCTTTTCCCTCAAAAATAATGCGTTTCCTGAATTCTTTTTTTTGATCTCCTCCTACTGAAGTACACAGATTTGACGCATTAGATTTGGCGGTTCCTGGTCTATATATTTCTTGATCAAAGCCGGAGCAAAGATCATCTTAATTATCAATAAAAAATTAACATTGATTTGAAAGGTTTCTTTCCTAGCTAATCCAACCTGAAGGAAGAATTGATGTTTCAATCTAGATTATTTATTTAATTTTTCCGATTACGGATTCATCTTATTCAAAAAGAATCCGGTTTCGGAAATTATTAATATTAGGATTAATATTTACTGGATATAGCTAGACAAGCAGATTTTCTACGAATTTATTATTTTATTAAGAGTTGACTGGTTTTCAATTAAAGCTGATAAAATGATCTATTAAGAAAGAGAAAGTCTCCGATTCACAACGGTACTATACAAAGCTTTATCTGATCAATACTATGGACATTTTTTAAAATGTGATTAAATTTGACAATTTCCTCTTTTGTTTTATAGAGGAATCACAATTGAAAATATTAAAGATATAATGTTACTGTTGTAAATCGTTCGTATTATAAGGCAAAGAAACTTAAAATTACCTTTACAGTCCCTTTAAGGAGAAAATGATTATCAAAGTTTTCATCATTTTTCTTTTTTTTTTCTTTCAGTATGTGGAGAATGTGAGTGGTTGGTCTGGAGGGTGCGAGGTACAGGGTGTATCTTCAGATATAACTGTTCTAGAAACATCTATTCACCATCATCAGGCTCTTTACGAAGCAATGTGTCAAGCATACACAGAGGTATATATATACAAATGTTTTCTTGTAGTTGTAATTATTTTATAATTGATGATCGGATATCCATTTTTTCTGTTATTACCCATTTAAGTATTTTCGGCTTTTAAGTGGTACCACAAAATCTACGAAGTCTCAGATTTAAAAATTGTATACTATACATTTTGAAAGTTTGATTTTATACCATGACTTTGATGGAAGATGTAAACCTGAATGAAGAATAATGAAATGTTCGTTTTCTTAACATTATGTAAAGTGGGAAAAGCTGAAATAGAAATATAGAAATTTTAACTAATAATTAACTAATAATTAAGTCTTTTAAAAAATTGAGGTCTTTGGTAACACTGTACATAAATAATTAAATTATATAATTAATTGTTTGATTAAGGTTCACTCTACAAGTAAGAAGCTGCTGTATCAACTAGATCATCTGGTTCAAGTTTCTGCTCAGACTGTTCAGGAGTCACCACAGAAGAAACATGTAAGCACATTTTTTTAATTCTTAATTTATTTTAAGGCACAAAAAACGTAGAACTTTAAAGTTCTCTTTTATAACAAATACAATTATTTCCAAGAACTCAAACTTGTCAGAACTTCCAACTTTTTGAGTATATTAGTTATGTTTTAAAAAAACTTCCTACTTTTTGAGTATATTAGTTATGTTTAAAAAATAAATTGAAAATATTACTATAACTCGCTTGTTCTTGACTGTTCAGAATTTGTACAGTGAGAACCAGAAAACTGTGAAATATGAAGACGACTTTACTTGTCTAGTGAATTGGATTGGCTTTAAGAGTCGTCTTCTTATCCGAGAGTTTTCTGGTTCACACTGTATATTAAAAGCTTTGTGCTTCAAAATTAAATGATCAGAGAAATTATAAGTTATAATTAAATTGATTGCATGGATGTTTGTTTAACAAATATTTAATGTATCCCAAGCAATTTTTAAGGCGTGAATTTCAAGAATTTGGCTCATAATTAAAAAAATCGAATTAAAAAACTGAGGGTAAAATTATTTTAGTCTTTTTTTCTTTTTTGCATGAATTTTAGTTTAGATAAAATCCTTGTTAAACCTATTTATTTATATTTTCATATCTGTAGAGCTCTGGATGTCCGCAAAAAAGAAAAGTAAGTTCAAAAATTTAAAGATAAATGGGTAACAGTCCTTGTCTTACTTGAAAAAAAAACGGTTCAAAAAAATTATTTTAATTCAAAGATTAAGTTTTTGATTGGATCAGTTCAATGCTGTAAACTTAAGAATGGGATATCCTTAATCCCGATAATTATCTCAGCTCATATCAGATCTGCTTCTCTGTTAAAGTTGATGAAATGGGGCGACAGAAATTTAAAATAAAAGCTTAATGTGTTTTTAAAAATCTGTTCTGTTCGAGGTTGCGAGATTTATAGTCATTCGAGGTTTTGTGATTTTTAAGAGAGGTTGCGGGTTTTTTATCATTAGTTCTTAATCTTTTATTCTTTTTACCCTCCGTTTTTATGAACTATAACTATTGTTCATGCATGAAATCGATACACTGTTAGAAACAATAAGACTTTAATAATTTTTTTCTGAAACAAATATTTTTAGGAGCCCCGACCCCCGCCAAAAAGTACAGATCCAGCTGCAGATTATCAAGAGGTATACATATATATATCTAAATGAATCATATTTTTGTGTCGGTTCATTTCAATTTTCTGTTATTCAACAAAAAATTTGATAAAGTATCAGTTTATTCCTGAAAACGTAAAAATGTTGTCAAACAATGCGTTTGTGATAATTGATATTTTAATTTTCACATCATTTATGAATTGAATAAAACAAACATACATATGTTAATAAATCTTAATTTATTCATCAAATGCAATGTTACGTAATTTTTTCAAAGGCACGTTGATATGTAATGTTTCAAGTTTAACATTCCTATCTGGAGCGCAATCTATCAAAAACATCACTTTTGAAAACTCACATCTCTGGTTTTTGTTTTTTAGGAAATATTGGGGAAAATGGCCATCGGGAAAAAAAAATAATATTCAAGGAGAAGGTCCAATTCCTAAAATGCCATGAAAAATAAGATAAAAACCCAAAACTTAAAAGAAGGAATTTTTAACATCTTCTTTCCTGTCTAGGGTGCTGGACATGTTCTGTCTGTAATCCACGAGATTCTAGCACACCACCGTCAGCTCGAGGCTAAATGGCATCAGAAGAAGATAAAACTTCATCAACGTTTAGCTCTCAGACTCTTCCAGGAGGATGTGAAACAGGTTCGTTAACCTCCACCTAAAGGGACCCTCCATCTAAAGAGGGTTTTACCAGATTCACAATGGTACTCTTAAATGAATGAGATATCTGTGGTTTTTAATTTTGAAAATTGATCATTTTTTATTGAGGTTTCTCAAAAAATGTAACTTGCAAACACAACAATATCTTCATAAAATAAATAAAAAACAGAATATTAATTTAAGCATATTAATAACTTTGTTATTTTTAATTTTGTTTTCTCTTTTAAATTTATGTATTAACAAGAACATTTTAAACGTTTTTAATGGGATTTTTTTTTAATATTAACTCAACTTTTAAACATTACATAGCTCTAAACTAGGATTTTTGGTACATTACAAAAATTTCATGATAAAATAATTAAAAAATATTTTATAAGGCTGTTATTAAATGATAAAAATGTGCATTCAGAAAATAAAATGTTCTTTGAGTATTTTGGCTTTAAGGTTTTGAGATAATCTAATATGAATGGACACTGTGCATAAATTCCAAACAAAATATACTCACAAGAAGAGACGTGAAGATGAATAAATGTTGTTAAGGTGTTGGACTGGTTGGAGAAGCACGGTGAGGTCTTCCTGAGGAAGAATGTTGGTATTGGAAGAAATCTTCAGAAATCTCGAGTTTACCAGAAAAGCCATGAGACATTTGAGGGAGTTGTTCAGGTAGGATTAGTGATTCATTGTTCAGGTAGGATTAGTGATTCATTGTTCAGGTAGGATTAGTGATTCATTGTTCAGGTAGGATTAGTGATTCATTGTTCAGGTAGGATTAGTGATTCATTGTTCAAACTTAACGTAGTGTAAGAAAAGCAAATTTTGAACCTTGCAGAAAATACAGGCAAAGAACGATCCAACAGCGACGTGTTATTTTGCTTATTTGGGTACTTTTTTAATTTATGTTTTTAGGATAAAAATATTGCAAGTTTAGTAATAGCAAACCTTAACTTACGAAGTTTTAAAATCTTAAAAGTTTTATTGGAAAGTTTTTAAAAACTGATTACCAAGACTAGGTAGGACCTAACAATAATAAGGGATGATATCAATGGGGAATATGAAGACGACTGATTTATGATTTTTTACTAATCCAATCAACATGAAACACAGCAATTTTACTTAATATACAGGGTGTCCCAAAAAACATTGGAATTCAGTGACGAATTCGATATCGTCTTAGTTATGAATTAGCATTGTAATACCTAATTTCAAAAGCCGTAATATTATTATATCTGCTATAATTTATTTTATGAAAGCGGTAAAAGACTGTAAAGATGTGTCTATAATGTCTCCGCAAGATGAACAGTGAGGACGGACAAGCATAGAGAATAGATTATATATTAGAGGGGAATTTTTTCAGTCCCTTTCAGCCTGAAAGGGAGTTCAAAGTGTACAAATCATGTAAATGTTCACAAATTATATGCAGTAGAGTACATTATTACAATATGTTCCCTAGACTATTCATTTCAATTTCGATTTTTTTTAAAGCTGTTAAAAAAACTTTATAATGAATTAGGTGAATAAAAAACATCATTTGATTTATAGTTATAACGGAAAATCATCGTTTGTAAAGTGAACGGCATAGAGTCTATGTGAAATGATCATTGGTCAATTATAAAAACCAGCCTGTTTCATAATTTGCTTTCCTTTTAACATTAATTTTAGATTTTCTATAAAATGATATTTCAGGGCCCAAAAGGTTATATAGCATAAATATGTGAAGTACACCAGCAGTATGGAAACAGTACGGAAACAGTACAACAAAATGGCCGTTTTACACTTATTTCTAGTAAATTCCCCTTTAATATATATTCTATTCTCTTTGCGGACAAGTTTACTCTGTTTGTATACTGCAATTTTCTTGTTTTACTAAGTACAACCGTATGCAGTCAAAACATAAACAAGCAAAATGTGAACATAGCAGACGAAACTCTTACAGATTACAGCTTTCTCAGTAGGTATCACTATACTAAATCAAAGAATTAGTTGAAAAGATGATATCGAATTCGTCATTGAATTCCTATGTTTATTGGGACACCCTGTAGGTTGATTATCAAGGCGCTGGTGAAAATAGCTCCTACTGTAGTCCATAATATTCTGCTTTTAAATTGAGATTATTAATCTATTATTTGGAATTGGTATAAGTCTTAACTGATGTATTTTTGTAGGTATGTACTTTACTATTTACGATCAGCTGACTGTCATTGTATTTCCCCATACCACTGGTAGGTGTCTCTCAATTCCACATTCTTTTAGTCCTTTCTCAAGACTTGAAAACTGAAGCGCCATCGTGGGATTTACTAAGGAACTAATATTAAGGAAAGTCTAACACTGTACCATCTACCGGCCAAAATTATATTAATAATTCCTCGTCTGAAAAATATCTAAATTTTATTTCAATCAATCCCAAAAATATTTATGACTTAGTCACGATGAAATAATAAATTCAAATTGATTTTTATCGTATGTTGTTTATGCAATATTATATGAAAATATACCTATTTTGAGAAGAATGAAACATCAGATTTAGGAAGATTGAAGAAGAATTTTTTACAGCTCTTAGTGTCAGACATTGTTATATAGTAATAAATCATGAAGGGATTTACCGTAGGGTAAGATGTTATTTTGTATTATAGACATTTTACCACTCTTAATTTCAAGGTTTAATTTTATTGACTGAATTTTGAAAAGTAATTGATCATTCAAAATACCTCTAACCATATTCTTAAGCAATACATCACAAATCTTAAATCTATCTGTTAATCTTTAAATCTATCTTTTTATCTCCTATGTCTATATGTTGGAAAGTTTTGTCCATGTATCCTCTCCATCATTTCTTCGTGTCTACCCTGTAGAGAGGTTTCTCTCATATATGTCTGTAATATATTTATCTATGGTGGACTGTTCAAGAAGTCCATGAGAATCAATATATTTTTCTATGGTGGACTGTTAAAGAAATCCATGAGAATCAATATATTTATCTATGGTGGACTGTTCAAGAAATCCATGAGAATCAATATATTTATCTATGGTGGACTGTTCAAGAAATCCATGAGAATCAATATATTTATCTATGGTGGACTGTGCAAGAAGTCCATGAGAATCAATATATTTATCTATGGTGGACTGTGTAAGAAATCCATGAGAATCAGTATATTTATCTATGGTGGACTGATCAAGAAATCCATGTGAATCAGTATATTTATCTATGGTGGACTGTTCAAGAACATGAGAATCAGTATATTTATCTATGGTGGACTGATCAAGAAATCCATGAGAATCAGTATATTTATCTATGGTGGACTGTTCAAGAAATCCATGAGAATCAGTATATTTATCTATGGTGGACTGATCAAGAAATCCATGAGAATCTGCTGTACATATGCTTTAAGTGTCTTCTGTTTGATATTCATTGTCATGTCTATTATCCATTGTATAGTGTCTATATAGTGTATTATTCTATATTGCCTGGTGTCCAATGTTTACCGCTGGTGTGTCTACTGTCTGGTGTTCAATGTATCCTGTCTGGTGTTAATGTATATTCTCAAGTTTTCAATGTATACTGTCTAGTGTTCAATGTCTACTATCTGGTGTTAATGTATGTTGTCAAGTTTTCAATGTAAACTGTCTAGTGTTCAATGTCTACTGTCTTTAGTTCAATGTGTACTGTTTAGTGTCCAATATAAAATGTCCATTGTCATATGTCTTCTATCCACTTTCTGTTCGCTGTCCACTTATGTCCACTGTTATCTGCAGAATTAATTCTGTTAATACCCGGGGCCAAAGGTTTATGCGCGTAAGGAAACCTTAAACTATTCAGATGCATAGAGTAGGTACACCAGAATTACTAAAATTTTGCATATTACTCCTTTAAATCTAAAACTAGAAAAAAGCGCTTTGCAACTTATGTATCATCATTCATCACATCTATGATCGGTCCGGTTCATTAGTTGTTTCTAAATTTTCATATTTGACTGTTTTTGTACAATTTATGTCAATCTTTAGTAGCTATAAGTTTTCCTCCAATATAACCAGTAAAAGACCAAGATTTAGTTTGTGTCTAGTTAAATTCAGTAATCTAAGATTGCAACTAATATCATGACTTAAACATTTACAGCAGCTAAACCTGGGTATAAAAGATGAAATTTTAAATTATACAAAGAATCCACGTCATTCTTTTCATACTTTTCATGCATATTTTCTTTTTTTACATTTTCATAAACTTTATTGCATGAGAGAACTTGGACACAACAAATATTTAATAAATAGAATTTTACTTTTCAGAAAATTTCATTTCATCAAAATTTTATAAAATAATATTAAGAAATTTAAAGAGAATAATTTACAATCAGTTTTTTATCTATTTTTTTTCGACGTTTTGTTATGCCCTTTTTTTAAAGGAAAGCAGTAAGAAAATAAAAAAGATTTAAATGAAAATATCATGATGTATTTGGTTGGGAGGGCTGGGCGGGGCTATAGTGGGCGTTTAGCATTTATTATTCTTCGTAATGCATGTTTTTAAATCCTTAATTTATTCAATAATGTTTTTTATTCTTTATTCTATTGTGTTGGTAGGTTGGCACCCATCTGTACATTTCCTTACGCTTGTTAGTTACACACTTTTTATATACAGGGTGACTAAGAATATTTGTGAAACATTTAACAAAAAAATATATTATTTTTTCGATTATAATTTTTTTTAATAATTTAGGCATCTTGACATTTTCTTCTTTTTGTATTGATGGAAGAGGCCAAAAACGTGTTAAAATCTTCATATTTATTGAACAAGGGTCTCATGGTTTATATTTTAAAATATGGTTCATGATTAAAGTCGTAGATTAATTAGGACACCCTGTGTTAAGGGGTTAAATACTTCTTAATTATTTTTATTTTATTTTTATTATTTGATTTACGAATTATAGCACTCAGTTTCATTTTTTTTTTGCTACATAGAATAGACCATATCAATTCCTTACTTTACAGGGGTTTAAAAACTTTTTGTATCAACAATTTCATCGCTATCTTTTTCATTACTTTGTCAAGATTTTAGTTTGTTTTAAATTTGTTCAATTAAATAATTTTTTTAAATTTTATTTTTGCCGCCAACAAATAAACATCTAAGAATAAGATGCATTAACCTTTTAAAACCAGATATTAACCGGATGTAAGAAATATAAGAAAAAGTATGAAAATATCTATTTGAAGACTTAATCGAGTAAAGTATCTGAAAATCTTCATGGGTTTCCTCGAATATGTTATAATACAGAGCACAGAATTTTGTGGATAAGACTCATCTCAAGATCAGCATCTTAAAGTTCAATATTTCTTTACTAAAAATACCGAAATTAAGTTGAGTTTCCGTTGCATAAACTCTGTACTCTGCTATCTCCTAATGCTATCTTAATACGTATCTTTACATCCATGTAAACTTTATCTGAGAGGCTATCCTAGTTTCAAGACCTTAAATTAAACACACTGACACAACACCATGTGCATTTAGGTATGTTGGTTTAAGTATTTTTCTCTCTCTCTCATTCATTCTTTACTTAATCGAATATAAGAATTAATAAACGGAGAGTTTTTAAAGCCTTGTTTTAAAATGAGATTAAATGAACAAAAAGCATTAACTTTTTTAAAACAAAACATGCTTTCTCTCTCTCTCATTCATT